TCTGCTAGAGTGCGGCGACTTTTTTGACGAATTATGAGCGGTATTGTATTGTTTCATGCTCATTTGAGCCTGCTATAGAGTAGATGAAAGAGACAAGGATTCTGCTGTGTGCGGATGCTTGCGTTCGTATTTCATCCCAATAATGCATGAAATTATTGATGTTTCAATTTTATTATCGAGTATTATAGCGTCTCGAATTGGTCTTTGGAAGCTTTGATCTCTTTCTCATGGTTTAGTTATGCTTCAGGACCATTTCGTAGATATATCAATGCAATTACCAATTTTCTGTATCAAGAATCAAAACTATGGCGATGGCGATTTCAACGAAATCCCCAATAAATAGCCGTGCTGTCGGAGCGCGTTCACCAGGATACTTTGTTTCTTCGACTTTCTTCTTGTATTTCGTCCCATTTTACAATCCGCTTTCAGACCCTGTTCACAATATGCTCGTTTCGTTTCCTCCCCTCAAATGCTCGCTGCCCAAACGCTTTTTAGGCAATCAACTCTGCTAACTACAGTCAGGAGTAGAAAACTTGAAATCAGTTCAACTTTATCATTTATATCCCTCTATCCTATATATGACTAAATTTGAAAACTAAAAAAGAGCTGAAGCAACAACAAAGTCGAAAAAGATGGGCCAGCGCTTACCAAAAGTGCTGCTGGATTTTTTACGCATAACCTGCCAGCTTTCCTATGTATTAAACTCCACACAGCTGACAAGTGATAGCGTAGATCACCCCCGACTCCAAGCAATCACCTGGTCTTCCATATGAACATACAATACCACCCATATAACGCGCAAAATTTCTGATTATCGCGAAATTCTCGGATTTTCGTGATATTCACGGAAATTTTGCATGTTAAGTGGGCGGTATTGTTTTTGGATGATAAACTGATCAAACGATAATTTTCCCATCTGCTGCTAGCAAATGAACATCAAAAACGCTATGTGAATTTTTTCATCCATACCTTCACGTTGAAGTGGTCCACAAGCTTTTCTACAGCTGACAATGGTACAGTTATAACAGTAAAATGTGAAAGTTCTCGTCGAAATCGCCTTCGCCGCTTTCGCCGAGAATTTCCACATTCTATAGTCACAACTGTTTGAATGCATGTATGAAGCAAATCTTATAATCTCCACTTAGATAAATTACTCGACGTGCTAACAATATTACTTACATTGTTTCGCTGCTGGTGGCACATTGTAGGATAGAAAATTGCCAAATCACACGTATTTGAGAGACAATTCATGAGAGTGATGTAACATCATAATCTGACGAACAATGCAGATAAGGTTTGTGCTGAGCACGTTCCGATAGAGCTGTTCACAGTCTTGAACTAACAAAAATGTGCAAACAATTTCTGCAATAGATAGGCGAAAAGGCAGGCGAAGTTGCGATCTTGATAGGTTTAGCTACTTCTATCTCACTTTAGCTTTACTGTAAGAGTGTCTAGTGCAAAATAACTAAGATATTCGTAATATCGGGACCAAAAACCACTATGAGCAAAGTTTCTGGTCAATCCGATAACCTCAATATTTTGACCAATTCCTGCACCGAGGCCAAGAGTGAGATGCGAAAAGAAATCGAGTGCCACTAGTTCCTTGGAAAATTGGACCATAGATGTTATCCGACCCGTTGATTACAGAAAACACATCTGAATTGCAGGACAGCTTCTTTCTGTAGGGGTACGGTGGATAGATTTTAGTGAAATGTGGTTTTTCTCGAAATTTGCTGGCCGTTTTCGCTTTCACTCACAAGGAAAGGATACTCGGTCACCGTGACTATTTGAAAGGCGATGTACACCGTAAGATGCTCCTCAAAACGCTGATTTCAAATCTACGCTCGATATCTGCGAAACGATCTTCTGAAGAAGTTATGAACTTTTTTTCGTATGCCTACTTTTGTGTAATTGAAATCACTTAATTTTTTCTAGTTATTGTTTGAAGCTAGCGAAGAAAATTTCAAAAGCATTACTATTGTATTATATTTATCTAACGAGGAAGGTGCCTTCAATGGCAGTTGCCTCTTGATATGAGATGCGTATTGTCTGAAGCAGCTTCGAACGCTGATCCTAAATCTGCTTTCCTTTTCTGCGGAACGCTCTTGTGAAGAGAGTTGAAAGCCTGAAAATCATATTTTGGAGTGCTCTTTGAGTTTGAGGACGCTGCTACGTGTGTTGATGGTGCAGTGGTGTAATGGTTGATTGTTGGCATTGAAGGCGAAAGGTCGATGGTTCGAATCCAGTGCAGAGCGTACCACCTCGCACTACGAATGGGAGTTCAAAAACCGCTCTAATTCGTCTGCAGACAATTACTGTAATGCCCATGGCAAATGTGACTCAAGAAAGAAATTTTCTGGCAGAACCGTTTGCTTGTTGAGATTTGGTTTTTTCCCACAAAAAATATATGTACAGAGGTGAAGCGAAATTACAAAGTGAGCAAAACACAGTTTCTCACAACGGGAACAGGTATACAGAAAACCTCCATGCAATTCTCATGTTCGTAAGTACCCATTAAGTTACGAGGGGAGCAATATTGAACTGGCGTTCCAAATAAATTCAAAAAATTTTGAATAAATTCAATCAAACCGGCTTCGGACCTCGACACTCCGCCTTTAATGTCAACAACTAATTATTACACCACTGCACCACCAACGCACGTAGAGCCATCCTCAAACTCAAGTAGCGCCCCCAAACAGGATATTCAGGCTTTTATAGCTCTCTTCAGGAGCGTCCCGCAGAAAAGGAAAGCAGATTTGAAATCAGCGTTTGAAGCTGCTTCAGATGGGATGCATCTCATATCAAAAGGCCACGGCCATTTAAAGTACTTTCCTTATAAGCCATATTTAGCGTTTGAGAAAGAAAGAGAAATTATTAGGTCGTTATTAGGTCCATAAGGTCGTAGCGTTTTTATAAACAAAACAAAATCACCAATTAACCGTAGAAATCAATTAAAATTGTATTCCTGGTTGTAGCCACAACCTTTTAGCACATCCTTATTGGCTTCTCTATCTCAATTTTTCAAACGGCAGCGCGCCGGGTCCCAAAAAGTCATCTAACCAGTGCTCAAACTACTTGCTGAAATCGAGACAGGCACCATTCATGAGATTTGCGAAAGAGAAAAATAATAATCTGATGGAGCGAGATTTGAAGAGTACTTTGGGTACTGAAGTACCTTCCAGTCAAATCGTGCAGGACAGTTTTGACGACGTTTGCCTATGAGGCCATGTTTCGTCATGCAGAAAAGCTCCCTGAATCTGTCTGTTAGGCTTTTTCTGCGGTAGGACCTGGTTTAGAAGGTGCAGTTGGATTGCTTACGTGGTTGACCATGGCGTACCTGTACGGCAATTTTCAGTGCAGGACGTCCTGCCTGTCCCAAGAGAAGTCTTGTTCAGGGACACCCTACTCAGTCGCTGATCTTTTGTAGCAATCCAATCTTTTCTGTCTCATAGAGGTGCGCGAGCACCATGTTCCATAATTGATACAAAAATCTGTGCAAAAGCGCTTGAAGAAAAAATGCGCAAATGCCGAAATCGCTACTTTTTGCCCTTCAAGATTTCCATCTTTGGAAGCTGCGAGATTTGAGTAAATCAGCTTTCCACCGAAAAGTAGGCGTATTCTAAAGTGCACAATCAGCCCTTCCAAATGATAGACGCATCAAGCCGCAAATCAACCGCTCCTCAAAGATATGAGGACGTAAATGAAAGAGCTACGAACTTGTGGAACGACCTAAAATTATTGATGATTTTGACCCTCCGCAGTAGCTCAATCTATTCATGGAAAAATTATCATAACTCCATCCAGGTCAGCGTTTCGCAGAAATGGAAGATAGTATTTGAACCAGAACTGAAAGGCACTTTTTGATATACAAATCATTACGAATGACCGCGTCACCAAGTATCCATTTCTTATCAGAAAACTTTTTACGTTTTGTTTAGCGTTCAAGGAACTAGGAAAGGTGCACTATCGAATAATATCAACCAAAGATTTTTATTCGCATTGAGTGTTGGGTTGTACCCCTACGAAAACCCGTTCGCAGAACATAATTGAAGATTTTAGATAAACGCAAAATGACTCTTCATCGTACTCTTGATTTGAAGATTTTAGATATACGTAAAATGACTTTTTATCGTACTCCTACAGTATTTATACAAAGTGGCATCAGATTGTAAGTTTTTCCTTCCAAAAAAGTATTTTAAAAGTGGGCGGACTCATTCACATATTTATTCGCCTTTTTGAAAACGCTTTCGTTAAGTTTGAAGACTCAAACTTCCTCCTCGCTCCTCTCAAAGAGTCAACTCTTTAGACCGAGCCCAATTTTGGAGCGGAAAGGCACTCAAATGTAACCATTACTTAACTCCAAGTATTACTTTTCTATCACATTTGCAAACGTCACTAAACGTGCAGATGGTACAATTTCTCCAAAGAAGCACGGACCAGTCGATTACTTCTTGAAATCCAAAGATTTATTCAACCTTTGCAGACATTTGGTTTTAAGAAAATTTGCTTCGTAAAGTCTCTCTTTTGGAAGTTTGATGAGTGCTAGTTGCGCATATTTGAATCTTAAGGGTGCATTTGTTTAGACACCGGAGTTGGCAAGTTTTTCAAAGAGTTTAGCAGAAAGTGGCTGCAAGTTTTAACCAACTTTGATTTTGCTTTTCGCCATTTTTCTCAGAGCCCATTCCTGTGCATGAAACTGCGATTTTCTGACTGACGTTGAACGTCAAAAAAATTGCAGTTTCATGCACACAGAAGTGATTTGCACGTGTTATTGAAATTTAGATTCATTTGGTGCGGAACAGAGTAAGGTATAGCAAACTTCGAGGGGCTGAAGCCTTTGGCCAGACTGTATCACCTCATTGAGTGTACTGTATTTATACGCACACGAGCATAGTGCTGTCCTTTTTCCGTATCGGAGCGATTATTGAACACAATTATCAAAACGGCTGAACATCTTATCTTTATTAAGCGTTTCCGTTATTCACTGTATTAGCTTGATGATGCCTCAACCTCAGACTAGCTCAACAGATAAGGGGAAAATCTCGAAATCAATGCTCGAAATCAGTATCAAAATCTTTGAGAGTTGGATGAGGTTAGGTAAGTAATGAAGGCCTTGCCTCACGGTCACGTTTTGTGAGAATTCCGAATACATTGGGATTTCCAAACTCGTGGAAGATCTCACTAAAAAAGTTCTGAAGCAAATAAACATTTTCTAACATCCATGCGATCAGTATGAGCAAAAAGTTGAAATTTAGGAAGTATGGGTTACTTTGCATACTTAATAATGAGATAAAATGATTTTTTTATTGTTAGATAGTAAACTCGCCATGCCATCGCATTTCGACACCAAGTCAGCTGAACAAATTCACATCGTTTGCTAGTACCTTTGTTCACTCTATGCTCCCCGCATAGTTTATGTTCCACTTAAGTTACAAAAGCCAAGGTGACACAGAGTTGAATGCTGCATATTGCGTACAAGGGGAAGGGGAACGGATTTCTGACTTTTTTGATCGAGTTTGAAACATATGTCGTGATTTTGCATTACCAGTAAGACGTAGTCAACTCGATGAGTTTGGGTGCATGTGTGAGGAAGCACAGCAAAACGTTTGCTTCGGAAATCAAAAGTTTTACAAAATACTGTCGTTAATGTGTATACGCTTCTCACTTCATCATCATCTCTTTGAAAATTGTAAAAGTTCCAACTATACTTACATTACTACCCTGTAACTCTACTACACTGTACTACTAAATTTATGAAATCATAGTAACATTATGTCCTCAAAGCTAATACAGGGTGTCCCAAAAAAAATGTGAGGACTATTTGATCGTTAATAACTCCGTTGCTTTCGTGTCTTTCGCCGAGCTTGAGGCACAATCTGTAGAGCGTGGTTTAACTAAAATTTGTAGTGTGGAGCGAATCACTGGTAGGTGTTCGTTACTGTAGGATTACGGTATGAACTTTTAGCATGTGGAGTGATTGTGAAATATGCCATTTGACAAAATTTTCCTCAAAAATCTGAAAAATCGTGTACTAGGGTTTTCGCCGCACGCGCGCACGCTGATTCCATAACACAAGTTTTTATAAGTGTTTTTAGCTTTTTTGACGGTGTAATCATCTTTCTGACAAGTGCTGGAAATTGAGTTTACGATTTAATTGGGATAACCTCGGAAAAAAGCATCACAGTAAAGTGAAAGTTTCATATTCGCAATCAGCCGCTTTCGTTACCATAGTAAAAGAGTTTCTGGGCCTGTTTGGTCTTGTTTCGAAGCAGAATATGGCCTCCAATGGCCTAAAATCTTTGTCAAAATTGCTACCGTAATCCTGCAGTAATGAAGAGCGATCTATGATTCGCTCCATACTGTCGATCTAGCAAGGGAAGCGTTTTCAGTCGAATCGGCCTTTCCCAATGGCACCTATATCACTCTGTGGAGCATCGAACGGTGATTCCAAATCTGTCTTCCATTTCTGCCAAGCGCCTCTGAAGGCTGAATTATGAGCGTTTTTTAAGTCGAAAAACTGAATGCACAACTGGAACAAAGTCGTCCAAGAATGCCCAAATGGGCAGCTTATGATTATCAGAGCACTTCATTTAATGAATGCCTTCTGTCTAATATCATCATACTCAACAGTGCTCTATTTGAGCGCAGGAGGAATCGTTATTATTGTTTTTACATAGATTCTGCGTTCATTTTTTACTCCGAAAAACACTCACAACTCGGCGCCCAGGGGCGCTCGGCAGATAGTGAAAACAGATTTGGAATCAGCGTTTGATCCTTTTCGAAGAGTTGGAGGAGTTATTTGGAAGGGTCAGTTCGACTAAAGACGCTTCCCTTGTAAGTTGAACCTCGCTCTATAGAATGGTTCCTCAAGCTCGGCGAAGGACATGAAAGTAAAGAAGTTAATAACGATCAAACAGTGTTCGCATTTTTTGGGACACCCTGTATATTAGGTTGGCCCGAAAATTCTTTCGCACCAAATTCAAAAATTTATAACATCTGATTTTTCCAACCGATCTGACTGTTTTTAATTTTTTATGAAAGAGTAAGTAATGCTCTTCATAATGACATCTTAACCCTTACTAGTGGTCATCTGCTGCATACATAAGAGAAGTAGAAAATAGTCATAATTCGAATCTGTGTAGGGTCATAAGAATTGGAAATTTGCAACAAAAATCGGCATTATGGTTTCTATTACATGCTTTTTCTAGCTGTGCAAAGGTGCCAATTAAATGTCTCTATAAAAAGTTGTGATTTACGAGAAAAATGCCAAAATGACTCAAAATTGCCTCATTGTATCGCTTGCTCGAAAATCATAACTTTTGATAAAGACGTTTAATCACAACTTTGCACTGCTAGAAAGAGCTGGTAATAGAACCTATAACGCCGAGTGCTCGGATTTATATTGCAAGTTTTAGATTTTTTATGACCCTACACAGAAAATTCAAATTTTGACTAATTTTCTTCTACCGCTCCTATCTATGCAACAGATGAACACTAGTAAGCAGCTGAGATTTTATTGAAGAGCATGACTTACTCTTTCATAAAAAATAAAAACAGTCAAATCGGTTAGAAAAATCAGATGTTATGAATTTTTGAATTTGGTGCGAAAAAACTTTCGGGTCAACCTAATATTTTCAGAATAAATCAACAATAAAACGCTATCTTGGTTTAATAGCTAAGAATTTTGCTCTCTGTTAGTCACTCTAAACCCCTATTCTATTAGCATTATCCCAACAACAGTATATCAAGGAAATTTGGAAATAATGCTCGAATGCCCGATCAGAACCCTTTAAGAAGCTCACCGAATAGAAATTCTGCCTTCCAGTTAGGTCTTTCCTAGATTCATCATCACATAAACATGGGCTTAGAAAAATAATCTACACACGCCTCTAGTCTTTGGAATTTGTCATACTTTAGCTTATATATTAAGTTTCAGGAACAATGCTCTTCAAATTCTTCTTTATTTTGGCCTTGCTACATTTGTGCACCTCTAAAATTAAAAATACCTGTTTTAAACAATGGCTACTGAATAAAAAACCCAAACTCCGCTACGTAAGTTTGATTTGGTGAGTGGGATTTGTTGAGTAATCTAATCGCTTTTACAGTGCGTGTCAGAATGCCAGAAAAATAGTCTTTGCATACAAAATGAAAACCAGTGCGACCTCCAACTCCCCGTGGACTGTCGCAAATGCCTTGAAGAATGCGTTTTTAAAAGAAAGAAAAGACCTTAAATCCAGCCAGACCTGTCACGAATACATTGAACCAGGCTTTTTGAGATTTTGTATGCATGATATCTTTCCATAATTCGTGAGAAATAAATGTTGCCTGCATATAATCGTTACGAAAAATCGATGTATATGTCCTACCATTCTTACTTAGATCTGTAATTAGAAAAAACAATTTGTCAAACACCGTCGCAATAGCAGTGCTCCAGTACAAGTTCAAATTAGAGGTGAGGATGCATATGCAAGGTAGTTCCGCTTTATGTGTGAACTAAAATATGTAGGGCCACTGTGTCCAAATTCAAAAAATTTATAATTAATGATTTATAGAATATGCATATGCACTTTACAATCAAAGTTTTACAGAAGTTCACTTTCAGAACTACGTTGTTTGAAGGTGGCAAAGATTGCAGGTATAGATAAGTATAATTCCCACATTCCCTCCCCTGTTTATGAGTCTACATTTACAATGTTATCACCTTTTGATCTATAATGAGTTAAAATAATGCTCTGAGGTATCAAGATCAAAATATTGGCGACATTTTACCTCAATGACCTCAACATCTGTAAGCCACCTCTCGAGAGTCATCAGTACACTCGTTTTCTATGGGATATAAACAAAGACAACACTAGTACTAGAAATAAAAGTACCAACGTAGATTTTGGCTCTCTATATGCTCTGGTCCACGAGAAATATCAAATTTAGCTTTCTTCGCTCAGGCTTCTCACACTTAAACCAACATTTCTCGTAAACCAGGGCATATAGAGAGCCAAAAATCTGCGGTTGTTCATTCAGTTAGTGTTGTTTCTTAGTGTTGTTTCTTTGATGTCTTGTTGCAAAAAAATCATTCGCTGAAACTTTTTTCCTTGTGCTTTTTAAGAAACTCTCATAGCATTTACACTTCCTTGCGCCTCAATTTGACTTCAACATGCAGATGTGGAAACGAAATGAATAAAGAAATAGGGATGAGCTCATTTGTTTTCCATTGGAGACCTGCTGACCTAAGAAGCAAGGAGAAAATCCTCGCATAAATCGGACACGACAATCCTACGCAACTCCTCAGAAGATTGCTGGGAGCCGAAATGTGCCAAGCACTCGGAATTTTTCCGAAATGTACAGTAAAAGCTAAAGCCTCCGGTAAAAAGGTTCTGCTGTATCGTATAAAAAGGCCGAACAAAACGTTTCTTTCGAAAGGTTGAAAAGCGCATACTACCTGTAGTGCATTCCTGCTCTCAGCAACTTTTACTGTCAACAATGTAAAAAAGAATGCAGGTAAACCTTTTCTCAGCAACAGAGTCTGTGATTTAACAAACTTATAGCTACCAGTGGTATACCCAGGATTTTCGCTCGGGGGGGGGGGGGCGGCCGAACTTTTTTTCGGATTAAGGGGCGTGGCGTTAGCCACGCACTCCGAAAAAAATTTTGGGGTGCTTCTCAAAATTTTTTCGGGTCCCCAACCCCTGAAATCTAGAAAAAGGAGGCGTGGCTGACGCCACGCCTACGAAAAAAATTTTCTTACAAGGCTGATTTAATTATTTACAAGTAAAAACAAGTTGCTTGCACATTTTCATAGCCTATAATTCTCGGGGGGGGGGGGGGACGCTCCCCCCCCCCGTCCCCCCTACCCCTCGGTACGCCACTGATAGCGCTACCTATCAAAAAGTTGACTTTTCACCTACAGTTTTCAATTTTTCGTCAAGAGCTTGTATTGGCTAACTACTAGCGCAATTTAAAACGATCTTCCAACCGAAAATGCACCCATTTTTGATTCAATAATCTCAAATATGAAGATTAACCTCATAAGCATGTCATCCTACTTCCAATGAATATATTAGGTTTATACAGAACAGAAAGCTAGGGCCCCAACATCTGAGTGAAGCAGCGGCAACGGAAGTACTTTAAGCCATCACTGCTATTTTTTTCTGGCTAAACTCGCATGCAGGAAACAGTTTGAAAAGGAGATGTTTTAGATCACTGCCAAAAGCCAGATGTATTAGCAAACGTTTTGGATTGTTTTGCTTCCATAAAAGCAGCCGAAAAGCTTCGAATTCGTCTCAAAAGCTTGTGCACCTTATCGGAAATGATTTTGAAAAGAACACGTCTCTGAACCAAAACCAGTCATTTTTTTCTTGGCTCGTTGCAAGAAAACTTTTCTCTAGGATTCACGAAAAAATTCGTGAAGAAAAATCCATGAAAAAACGCAAATTTTTTTATAATTCCTCATGTTCTTCAAAATATCTCAGTTGTTACAAGATTAATTAATTTTTTGAAAACTACCGATGACAGGAGAGCTACACTACCGGTCTAGTTTGCCCCGAGATTAGTTGCGTTCAAAAGCAGTAATTAGTAAGTATTTTTAGCAATATTTTTACTTAGAATTCTCATGTGCACTTCCATTTCTTTGTTTGTTTATCGCATGACACCAAAATTAGTGTGTAGTGCACAATAATTAGGGCTATGTACGCGAAATTATGAAAATCATGTGAACTGAAGGATTAGCAAACTTTTGGAACCAGGTGGCTTTAAAGTCACCTTGAAAGACTGAGGTGGCACGAGAAAAACAAAAAAAAATTTCCCTCTTTTCGCATACTTTCATCCCCACTTTTACATGGCCTCAATCCACATTTTAACACATTTAATCTTTACAAACTAGTTTTTGAAACTCCATGCACCCCCTCCTCCCCTTTAAGTCACACTCCTTTAGAATTTTACATAACTGCAGCAAGTCTACCCAAAGCGCAGGGTGTGCGCGCCGGACACAGCATGTTGCCAGTGCAAGGAATACGAACATCATCAATTTTTTGGCCGTCTTTCCAAGCTGTTTTTGTGTTATTTTATTTATTAATTTTTGTTATTCTCTTTAAGTGTGTCATAGAAAATGTCGCAATTTTTGTTGCGAAGTCAACGAGGACTTCATTTCTGAAAAATTGCCGTAGTCTTGCTGTGCCGTGCACTGCAACAGTTGTAATAAGAAGAGATTTCCTAGCAAACTACCTGCAATATCTCACTTGCATCTGCACAGTCTATAAAATTGTGAAAATGCTCAAGCAACATAGCTGGAACGAAATCTTACCAATGAACTATGATGATCGAAGACATGGTTTCTATAAACTGCTCAAACCATCGAACGAACAAACAATTTTTGAAGAATATCTAAAAAATATGGACGAGCTCAGTTTTCTGATTCAATCCAAGTCAAAGAGTTATTGACATATGGAATTCTCATGTACTTGGATTGTTGGACTTCGAACATTTGAATAATCGAGTACTGGAATGAATACAGTGCAAGTTATTGGAATCGTAAAACAAGTGTGCTTAAACGACTGTTTGTACTTTTCTAATGACTAACTGATCAAACAACGAATAAAATGTTTATCCACTCTTCATTAGACTTTCTACCATTTCCTAACAGGATTAGCCAATAAGATGCCAAAAAGGTGGTGCATATTTTCAACATTCAGCATCTCAATATTTTTGTATTAAATTTCGAGGAGCGTAGGCATAACATTACTATATCGAGCAAATTGTGAACAGCCAAACAAAAAATTGGCAAGCAGACAATACTATTTACTAATTTTGTCACATTCGTACAGGGTGCATGTAGCTCGGTATAACTTGTGTGTTAGCAGGTATTTGATAACCGTGCTGCAAATAAAAGTGCAAATTTGTAACCTCCTCTAGTTTTGAAAAATCACAGACCTAATCATCGAAAAAAAAACATACGGAATGATGTCTGCCCATTTAATAATACAAAACCTCGAAATTCCTGCTATCATACCCTAGCAATGAGAAAGCTGTAATTTTTCCAGACGTTCAAGCTTCTAACAAGGCCGGAAAAAATTCAGAATAAAAAGTCTAATTATTGTTGGTTGCTGGCAGACCAATTCAAGTGTATTGTGCGATAAAGAAGATATTTCTAAGACGTAGCAGCAAAAGATCCATTAACGCTGTCAGAATCCATACGACATCAAACACGGTTACTACCCTTGGCAGCCCTTTATTTAGCGTCAGGGTATCTACTCGGTCTACAGGATTATGGTTCATGAAAAGCTTCTGCCAAATATAAAACGCATAATTGGACGCTGATATGAATAATTAATGACATGTTTTTCTTAAAGCCCAATGCATTTGCTAAGACGTGAGTTCGCAATTAATTTGCAATTTTTTTGAAATTTGCAATCAAAACACAGTTTCTTTGAAGTGCATGATTCTATCCTGATGCAGCGAGACCGCAGTCAACGTAACCCTAACTTATGGCAGGAGGAAGAAAACAAGTACTGTTTTTGTAAATGGTTTAATAGCCAATATTTCTACACAGCGCTAAGTTTTGGCTACATGCGATGCCTTTGAAAGCACCACCCAGAAAATTTCATGTATGACTCGAGTGAGAAATCGGAAAAAGCTTTGTGCATGTGGCATAGAACAAGGACACAGAATTAACTTCGAAGTATATGCGGCAAGAACTTCTGCGAACTCCCTGTGAATGTGAAGAATTCAGATTGTTCTCAAGTCTTCTTCAAGCATTCCTATACGGTAGCTAAACTGAGACATCCACCATGTGAGTCAACGTGTGGCGCATTTCAGATACGATTTCTTTTCCAAAAACGGTTTTGTAGGTAATGACTCTCACAGCTTTGTCTCCTGGTCAGTGTTATGCTTTTTCGCGAGATCAAGCAAGTTGAATTGAAAGGTTTAGTTAGGATTGCGTGAAAACATGAAGCTAACAATAAGACATACAATATAACATCATATTACTCTTACCACATTCCATGTTTACTCCACCATGATCTTCGCCGTTTTTCAAGACCGAAAATTATTGCGTCGCTATTTCTTGCGATATTTAGGAAAATTTGAGTTTGCAATTATGCAGTGATCTTGACCAGTGAATGACATTAATGTTTCTTCTGTTTTCAAAAAAAACCTTGTTCTATTCTTTGGTAGCCTTTGAATAAAAATGTTATGAACTATTGAATGGCAACCCATCAACTTCCATTCATTCCACAAATCACCGTGAATGAACAGGAATTAATACAACATATAGTAAATATAGTTTGATCTCCCAATATTGAGTAAGCAA